TATCTTACCGAATTCCTTAGTTGGGCACCCGTTTCGCTTTAATATGATGTTTAAATTAACGCAGTCCACGCGGCATTCTCTCTTGTTTAGTGTAAAATAGGCCGAGTTTTAGTTCGCCTTCTGAAGGACAAAAGCTTCAAGTTAATACTAAAATAAGATACCTATCCCTCTTTATCCTGCCTGCCATATATATTAATAATTAAAATCAAAAAAATACTTATAAATGTTTGTATTTCTTATTTTATCCCGTGTAAGTTTAGAACAGGAGAATCACGTTACAGTGAGGCTTCAACCAAATTTGCGTGCTTACAACACAAGGAAAATCCCCAAAATCAAACTGCTCACGGTTTGGACCTTTAAGCAATGGGATAATTCACCTATCCAATCCGAAATACTCTGGGCTGTATGCGGTCTAGGTAAAGATGTCATAACTAGTAAAATGAAGCAACCATTTCACGATGCCATCCTACCTGGCTCCAATCAGAGTAAAGAATTTATTCTACCCTCCAACAAGGTTGACGAGATCCAGATCGTCTGCGCCTTATACATGAATGATCAAGCCTACCCTGTCGTCACTGAACACAATGTGCTACTATTTTACATCTACCTGGATCGTCTGAACTGTACGCAACATATGGTTGTTCATTTTGAAGAACTGACTTCTGTACTGCCTAGTCAGGTTTCGAGATTCTCCCTGGTTGAGGCTCTGAGGAAGCTAAAAAGGCTTGATCCCAGCTACGGCCACGACACTGTCTGCCATACTGGCGCAGTGTTGACCAGAGAGGTCAATCTGAAGCTGAAACAAATTGAGAAAAGAACTGGTCCTCTTGTTCAGCAACTAAACTCATATCTCAGTTGCACATCCTATTCTTTAGGAAATATGAGTAACCAGCCCCATGAATTGATCATGACTCCTCCAATTGTCTTTGGTCTCCATGTCCTCATATGCAGTAACAATCAACAAGATACAAGCTATTTTTCGATCTTTATCACAGGTTAGTCAGAACTTACATCTTCGGAAAGGATAAAAATGGTCACGAATTGATTATGTGTACACTCTCTTATTGTCGTCGAGACCACCATCCTAGCCTAAACCTTCTAGAACAGAGTTTGTATACTATTATTTAGTACTCGGTGAATTCATAAACAAGGATTTTATTTATTATAGGTTATTTGTCAAGCCGAAGGTATTTGCAATGAGCTTAAAAGCTAGGCTAATATAAAAATCAAGGAAGGTATCGAAGCAATCAATGAGGTATGGGATGGACAAAATTATGGAATAAAGGCAGGTAAAATCAATTCAACAATTTTGCCTAAGAAGACATATGAAGCGGCATTGGTAGAGAGACTAGATGGAAAAAAATGCATATATTTTCTTCATTATTATTAGATAATGCGAACGGTAGTCGCACAAGGCCGCATAAGATCATGAAGATTTGTTAGAAGAATTATCCCACAATGATATTAATTGATCTTATAATACATTTTAATTTCACCTATCCTTGATTTTTGTAAGCTATACTCCTTTAGGTCGGATTGACTCTGGGTCTCATCTGCATTTCCAGCGTGAATCAAACACGAGCTATTCATTTTTGCGATAAAATTCAACTATCAGGTCTTCTTTACTTTATATGATTTAGGTTGAATAAGATTTGTATGCATATTCTACTGGTATTATCGAAACCTATTTGCTATGAATAAAAAATTTCTATTGCCTTATAAGTATTCATAATTAGCGGGTTTCGATAGAATTGATAAATGAAGGTCTGGTAGTTCAGTTTTCCCACAATCACGTGAGTAGGCCTCATATATCTTTCCAAAACTATGCTTATCGGGTCGGCTCTCACTATCTGCAGCCTAAATATGCCAAGTTTGATTGGTTATTTCAGGACTTAGTCTAGGTTGCTTAAGGGGATAGTAAACATCATAGTGGAAGTTTCCCACAAAGGGTATACTGAAGGGGTACAGTGGTCCAAAAATTCAAGTGGGGTTTACTTTCACCTTCTTCTGAGAGGGTTGTATTATCCTGTGAGGACTACAGTTTCGATCTCGCCTTGAGCTCACCCCCATTTGTTACTGATATCTTAAGGTTATTTGACAAGTGCGAACTTCAAGGCAAACCATGCTTCATCCAAATCAAAATAATGGTGGAATTTTAATTTAAGTAAACATGTATTTTTCATCACAATCTGTGTGCTGCGCAACTAACAATAATTCTTGAACAAGTTCTTAGTAACGCAAGATCGCGTAAAGTGGTTAAGGAGCTATGCTGAAATTCTCTCATTACGATATAAGTATATGTTAGAATGAAATTGAATTAATTTGAATTTAGGTATCGATTAGTTTTATATTTAAATAAAATTTAATATTTATTATTCATATTATTAAATTATAAGAAAATATTAATTGTATTTAAATATACTCGAACTGACTTCGCAAATGCATATTCAAAAATGTATAAACGAAAATCAAAGATTGTTTTTCATGGGAATATTGCGTAGACAAGAAAAGAAAAATATCAATTAATGCTTCATTCCCTTACTTATTGTGTGGCGAACGTAGTCAAATACAGATTTCTTGAATGAAGGACAACTGTCTTAGAGGAAAAGGCAAAATCTCTGCCTAAATTTGTTGGATTCACTGTACAGTGCGCCGAGGACTCGAAATCACCATTCAAAACTCTAAGATCACCAACAATTGTATTGGTCATTTTAATAGTCAATCCACTATAAATGTGAATTTGAAAAGGCCTTGATTTCCCTGAAATTCATATGTGCCATATAATCCATTTTGCACTCGTGACTTCATAGCCTAATTGTAACATGCAGACAAAATGGATGCCATTCATGCGTGAATGAGCATGTGTGTAAGGATATGAAAATCCATCAATCTGTCAACCCTTCGACAATTTAAAGACAACATAGAGCCAAGATAGCTAACCTATCTGCAGCATACATTCCACAAAATGAATGCTCATAAGGAATATAAAATAATTTGGATTTACCCGTTTAAAATTCACTTAATGGATTCACTCAAGAAGACAATAACTGTCTAATTTGACCTTTTTCAATGCAAATTAGGTACGGGCAGGGTAAAAGAAAGTTACAAATTAGCTGATATTGATCCCTAGCGTAAAACAGATTGCCATTCTTGCATAAAGGGCAATTATCGTTCTATCCAGTGATAGAGAGAGACATTGATAGAATAAGAAAATGCTCCTGTTTGATTAATAAAAAAAGGACTTGGGCCGTAAATCCATGTTATCATATAAATATTAAATAAAGAAAGTAAAATCAATCCTAAGTGGAGAAGACGGTGCTACTAGTTTGATGAATATTAAGGAGATTATGTGCATTTTTGAAGATAACACCACTTACCACAATTCTGCCATTACTCTGACTGACGGAATCAGAAAAGTAATCTAAACAATCATCAAGCACGTCAGTATGAAATGATAATTAAAATTGAATAGTGAACGATAAGGAAACTTGTCCAAAGGGACGCAAAGCAACTGGAATGTCTACTCATTCAATAGTATTCAGACAGAATAATTCTCCTGGATGTGCAAGACCTGACTTTAGATTAACTTGGGACCGACAATGAGACCTAGACAAGTTCAAAACTGTGGTCCACCCTGATTGAGAAAAACCTTTTTGAGGCAAGGCTAAGGGCAATTCAATGTTACTACTTTAGGCGGTGAAGGATGACAAAGTTCTAACAATGACTAATTTAAACTCACTAGAAAATGTAAAGGTTTCCCACATTTCTTCTTTGGAAGTCTATGCTTTGATACAGAAGGATAACATGCGCTAATTTCGCAAGTTATTTTAACGTTAATGCAGGAAAAAAAGAATTGAAAAAATTCGGTCATTTCCTAATGAACCCGAGTTTTATGATGGCTGAATGGTAGCCGACACTGGTTGCCTTCTTGACTAATTTGTAGCCATTGTAACCAAAGGAATTTGTCGGTAGCATATGGAAAACTGAGAAATCGTATTTATATTAGCTTGAGAAAGTAAGTTTACCTAGCCTAAACTACCTATTTTTCCTATCTTGATTATGGCTTAAACCCCGATAGACCCCAGGATTCAACTCAGATTGCTGCCTCATCGTGATTTTTATCTGCTCAGTAATATAACGAAACTAATAGCAACTTATCATCTGAAAACTACGGTAAAATTTCCATTTTATCTGCCGATTTCGCCTACTAGCTGCCAAAATAGCAAAGGATTCAGGCAATACCAAGCGAAGTGGAGCTCAACATTTCCAATAAAATTTGGCGCTAACGAGTGTCTAGACAATACTACACAGAAAGTCGAGTTAGCGGAGTTGTATTCCAACAAGGATCTACTCAGGAAGTTACTATCCGCTATGACCTTACCTACACCCAATGATCTTTTAATGTTGAAAAAAATTCCGCATTATATGAACGCTGTACAGGATATTACACTGATCTACTTTGAGGTCAGCGGTTACACCGTTGGACTAAAACAATTTCATTGTGATGGCTTAGCCAAGGTCAACGCCACTATTGTCATAGCAGGTAAGTGGTATTCGAAACGTTATATAATATTTTATCATATACTTTTTGTTTTAGAAACAGGTTATTGACACTACCAGTAGATCATATATATATATATATATGAGATGTATTCATCATATTTCGTTTAAGGTGATAGAGGGATTGGTAGATAAATTTTCCCACAATTGTATGAGTAGAGTTGACGTTTCCATTGAATTTCACATAGCCTCGCTTTCCCAAAAGATATTCTTATCTATCCTGAAATGGATTGCAGATTCGACTCCTCCTAGATCTTATCAACACCAACAGCAGGACTCGAACCATGACACAATAGCGTATAATCTCGGCACTTTAACCACTACACCACATTATCACATTTGCCGTTTGGTCACAGAGTAGATGTGAATTTCAAGAAAGGCCAGGTTTTTTCCCATATTTCATTCTGTGGGGGAGTTGTCGATCTAGCAAAGTTGTATTTACTATAGTAATCTACAACCTTATTTGTCTTTCGTTTCACAAGCAGATTTTCTAGACTAACAATAAATCATATACGTAAGATCAGGTATTTCCCCATATCATATTTTGTGGTTGAAAGCAAAGTTGTATTTGCTATAGGAATCGACAACATTACTTATTTTTTGTTTTATGAATAGCTTTCTGAGAAACGTTAGGTTTACCCATAGAATTGTGGTAAAATTCCACTACCAATGCACTTATCACCTTAAACGAAATAGTATCAATACATCTTACTTATATGATTTACTGGTAGTCTAAAAAACCTGCTTGAAAAACAAGAGATAAGTAATTTTGTCGATTACTATAATAAATACGACTTTACTACATCAACAACCCCACCAGAGAATGTAATATGGGAGAATACCTGGTCTTACATGAAATTCATATCGGCTCTGTGGCTCAAGGGCACTCGTGACAATGTGGCTTAGCGGTTAACATGTTGAGATTATACGTTGCATTGTCATGGTTCTAAGGTGCTGATGAGACCGAGGCGAGGTTGAAACTTCAGTTCACCTTGGACGAGAATAACCTTTTGGAATATAAGGCTATGTGGAATTTAATGAAAACGTAAGTACTATTAATATACTTGTACGACAAGTCTACTACCAGTCCCTTATTACCATAAATGAAATATAGTGAATAAATCTCACAATATACTATAAAAACATACTTAGAGCAATGAATTAAGTAGTTCTCTCTAACGTTAAACCTGCCTGATAGTTTGGCTACTCTATACAAAATAGGAAGACTTTTCCCCTTTGTCTATTAGTTTCTCCCTATCAAGTCTTTAAGAAGAATCGCAAGCTGTAAATTGCTTAGATTTTATCAACATTCTTAGCGAGAGTCGAGACGGAAATGCAATGCCAATGATGCCTGTAGGGACGTGACTCCGAAGAAAAAGCAAGCCTTTTCTACTTAGGATTTGTAGTGTTTATAAGAGTCTTATCTATATTTAAGTATAA